ACTACACACAGTACACACAGTACACACACTACAAACACACTACATACACACGCAGTACACACACACAGTACACACAGTACACATAGTACACACAATATACACACACAGTACACACAGTACACACACAGTATACACACAGTACACGCACAGTACACACACACAGTATACACATATAGCACACACACAGTAAACACAGTACACACACACTACACACACAGTACACATACACTACACACAGTACACACAGTACACACACACGGTACACACACTACACACAGTACACACACAGTACATACACTACACACACAGTACACATACAGTATACACACACTACACACAGTACACACACAGTACACACACACAGTACACACACAGTACACACACACAGTAGACACACACAGTACACACACACTACACACAGTACACACACACAGTACACATAGTACACACACAGTATACACATAGTACACACACAGTACACACACACACACTACACACAGTACACACACAGTACACATAGTACAAACACAGTACACACACAGTACACATAGTACACACACAGTATACACACAGTACACACAGTACACATACAGTACACACACAATACACACACTACACACACACACAATACACACACTACACACAGTACACAAACTACACACACTACACACAGACAGTAAACATAGTACACACAGTACACAGTACACACACTACACACAGTACACACACAGTACACACACACACTACACAGACAGTACACACACAATACACAGTACACCCACAGTACATACACAGTACACACACTACACACAATAAACACACTACACACACACACTACATACACACAGTACACACATACAGTACACACAGTACACACGCAATACACACATACAGTACACACACAGCACACACACAGTACACACAGTACACACAGTAGACACACTACACACAGTACACACACAGTACATACACACAGTAAACACACACTACATAGTACACACACCACACACACGACACACATACAGTACACACACACAGTACACACACAGCACACACACAGTACACACAGCACACACACAGTACACACACTACACACACACACTACACACGGTACACACACTACACACGGTACACACACAGTACACACAGTACACACACAGTACACACACTACACACGGTACATACATACACACACAGTACACACTACATACAGTACACACACACACACTACACATAGTACACACACCACACACACAGTAAACACACACTACACACAGTACACACACACAGTACACATAGTACACACAGTATACACACAGTACACATACAGTACACACACACTACTCACACTACACACAGTACACACACTATACACACTACACACAGACAGTAAAAATAGTACACACACACAGTACACACACAGTACACACACTACACACAGACAGTACACATAGTACACACACACAGTACACACTGCACACACAGTACACACACAGTACACACACTACACACACACAGTACATGCACACAGTACACACACTACATACAGTACAAACAAACTACACACGGTACACACACACAGGACACACACAGTACACACACTACACATAGTACACACACATTACATACACACAGTACACACATGACACAGAGTACACACACACTACACACAGCACACACCACACACACGACACACACACAGTACACACAGTACACACACAGTACACACACAGTACACACACAGTACAAACAGCACACACACACACACATTACACATACTACACACACACTACACACAGTACACACACTACAAACACATTACATACACACACAGTACACACACAGTACACACAGTACACATAATACACACACAGTATACACACACAGTACATACAGTACACACACGGTATACACACAGTACACACACAGTGCACACACACAGTATACATATATAGCACACACACAGTACACACACACTACACACACAGTACACATAGTACACACACTACACACACACACAGTACACACACAGTACACACAGTACACACACACAGTACACACACTACACACAGTACACACACAGTACACACACTACACATACAGTACACATAGTACACACACAGTATACACACAGTACACACACAGTACACACACAGTACACACAGTACACGTAGTACACAGTACACACACGCACAGTACACACACGCAATACACGCAGCACACACACACAGTACACACACTACACACACACAGTACACACACACACACTACACACAGTACACACACACAGTACACACACACAGTAGACACACACAGTAGACACACACACTACACACAGTACACACACACAGTACTCATAGTACACACACAGTATACACATAGTACACACACAGTACACACACACACACAGTACACATAGTACAAACACAGTACACACACAAAGTACACATAGTACACACACAGTATACACACAGTACACACAGTACACATACAGTACACACAATACACACACTACACACACTACACACACACAGTACACACTACACACACTACACACAGTACACACACTGTACACACACATACATACTACACACACACAGTACACAAACAACACACAGTACACACACAGTACATACACACAGTACACACTACACACAGTACACACACACTACACACACACAGTACACACACACAGTACATACATACAGTACACACACTGTACACACACACGGTACACACACAGTACACACACAGTACACACTATACACACAGTACACACACAGTACACACAGCACACACACACAGTACACACACTACACACACACACTACACACGGTACACACACATACACTACACACGGTACACACACACACACTACACATGGTACACACACAGTACACACAGTACAGACACTACACACACACAGTACACACAGCACACACACACACACAGTACACACACTACACACACATAGTACACACACCACACACACAGCACACACAGTACACTACACACATACAGTACACACACAGTACACACACACACAGGACACACACTACACACACTACACACACACATTACACACACGCAGTACACACACGCAGTACACACAGTACACACACAGTACATACACAGAGTACACACACTACACACACATTACACACACCACACACATACACACAGTACACACACTACACACACTACACACAGTACACACACACTACACATAGTACACACACTACACACACACAATACACACACAGTACACACACACTACACATAGTACACACACTACACACACACACACACTACACACACACAGTACACACACACTACACATAGTACACACACTACACACAGTACACACACTACACACACACACACTACACACACACTACACACACACAGTACACACACTACGTACACACAGTACACACACACAGTACACACATACAGTACACACAGTACACACACACACAGTACACACATATAGTACACACAGTACACACACAGTACACACTACACACGGTACACACATACTACACATGGTACACACACACAGTACACACACTATACACAGTACACACACAGTACACACACTACACACACAGTACACACACTACACACACACAACACATAGTACACACACCACACACACTGCACACATACAGTACACACACAGTACACACACAGTACACACAGTACACACACAGTACACACACAGCACACACACTACACACAGTACGTACATACACACATAGTACACACGTTATACACAGTACACACACACTACACATAGTACACACACCACACACACAGTACACACACACACTACACACACCACACACACAGTACACACAGTACACACACACAGTACAAACACAGTACACACACAGTACACACACACAGTACACACACACTACACACAGTACACACACACCCACACACTACACACAGTACATACACACACACTACACACGGTACACACACACTACACACGGTACACACACACACAGTACACACACACAGTACACACAGTACACACACATGTACACACCCACAGTACACAGAGTACACACACACTACACACACACAGTACACACACACAGTACACATACAGTACACACACACTACACACAGTACATGCACACTGCAGCCTGAATAGACTGCCAAGTGCTGTTAGCGAGTAGCACTTACACACACACAGTACACACAGTACACACACACACAGTACACTCACACAGTACACACAGTACACACACACAGTACACACAGTACACACACACTACACACACACACAGTACACACACATAGTACACACACATAGTACACACAGTACACACACTACACACACACAGTACACACACAGTACACAGTGTACACACACACAGTACACACATACAGTACACACACACAGTACACACACACAGTACACACACACAGTACACACACACACATGGTACACACACACGCACGGTACACACACGCACACACGGTACACACACACATGGTACACACACGCACGGTGCACACACGTACGGTGCACACACACACGGTACACACACACATGGTACACACACACACAGTACACACACAGTACACACACACTACACACACACACAGTACACACACAGTACACACACATAGTACACATAGTGCACACACTACACACACACAGTACACACACAGTACACAGTGTACACACACACACAGTACACACACAGTACACACACACACAGCACACACACACACATGGTACACACACATGCACGGCACACACACGCACACACGGTACACACACACATGGTACACACACACATGGTACACACACGCACGGTGCACACACACACACACGGTACACACACACATGGTACACACACACATGGTACACACACGCACGGTGCACACACACACACACGGTACACACACACATGGTACACACACACATGGTACACACACGCACGGTGCACACACACACACACGGTACACACACAACGCACCTCTCACTGTCGAAGGCACCACCGCCACCGCCACCACCACCACCACCACTGCCGCCGCCACCGCCGCCCGTCAGGAGGCCGCGGAGTCCCAAGCTGCTGCGTTCCAACTTGCTGTGACTCTTCGTGCGCTTCAGGCGCTTGCTCAGGAAGCCCTGCAGACAACAACAACCACAACAACATCAACAACCACAACAACAATGACATCAACCACGATAACATCGTCAACAACAACAACATCAACAACAGTACACATGGGCTGGTAACCCCTCCACCTTCAATTAATTACAACAACGCCACATGTAAAATATCTAACTAATAAGCTTGTGCCGGAGGCCCCGGGGGGACAGGCGTCTATGACGTCTCCTGGCCAAACCCCAATTGGCGGAGCCAGGAGATTGAATCTCTACCCTCGGGGCTCCTCCAGAAACAACGAAAAGCCACTACGGGTGGCCACGTGGAATGTTCGAACGCTCGCTGCGGAGGAAAGGCTGCCACTCCTTTGTCGGGAGCTGGACCGGTACCGCCTGGATCTCTGTGGCATTCAGGAGGTCCGGTGGACCGGCTCTGGCTCCTGCCACCATGAGGGGTGGACAGTCCTTTACTCGGGGCAGCAGACTGCCAAAAAACAAGGTGTGGCTCTTCTTCTGAACAAAATAATGAAGGGGGCGTGGGAAGCTGTAAGCCCCAGGCTACTTTGGGCTCGCCTTCCCATCAACCGGAGGCGAGGAGTGGCGGTCGTGGTTACTTATGCCCCCACCGAAGATGAACATCCGTGGAGGGATGCAGCCAAGGCCGATGAGTAAGATGCCTTCTATGACCTCCTGTCACAGGTGCTGGCTAAAGTGGCCCCTCGGGATAGAGTCATCTTGTTGGGTGACTTCAATGCCCGAGTTGGTCATCATGCTGGCACCTGGTCTGGAGTGATTGGAAGGCATGGGCCAGATCAGCTCAATAACAACGGCAGGAGGCTGCTAGATTTTTGTGCAGCCCATGGGCTTGTAATTACCAACACGCTGTTCCGGCATTGGCGCATCCACACAACATCATGGATGCATGCCGGGTCCAAGCAAGAACATCTGCTGGACTACATAGTGACAGACCAGCGGATGCGAGCCCATGTCCTTGAAACCAGGGCCTACCGTGGAGCTGATCTGCCCTCTGACCATCGACTTGTCATCTGTAAGATGCGCCTGCCATTCTTCCACTCCGGTGGTGGGTGCACACCCAGGACCCCATTCCAACCTAAGGTGGCCTGGTCTCGGTTATCTGATGAAAGTTGCAAGCGAGAATTTAATCATCGCTTGCGGCTGGGGTTGGCATCGTCCCCCACTCCTCCTGATGTCGAGGGTAAATGGGCGAGGTTTAGGACTGTGACTCAAGCAGCTGCAATGGCTGCTTTGGGTACACGGTTCAGACCTCCCCAGAGACCCCGGCTGACAGAGGAGGTGTTCAGGATGGTTGAGAAATAGCGACAGGCCCACTGTCATCGGCTACAGAATCCCACGTCGGAGAAAGAGGAGGCTTACCGCAGCCTTCGCTCGGAGGTTCGGAGAGCCGTGAGGCGCTGCAAGGATGGGTGGTGGTCGCGGGTTGCTGAAGAGATGGAGTCTGCCTCAATGGCTGACATTGTGGCACAAAGTGGGGATGACCCTGCTGAGACTGTGGTGCCTCAAATATTGGAAGAAGTCACCCCCTGTGAGTGGCTGGCTGAGGTGCCATCTGTTGAGGAAGTACTGAAGGCGATCCGGAGTCTGAGACCAGGAAAGGCACCAGGTAGAGATGATCTCCCAAGCGAAATGCTGAGGGAGGGTGGCGTTTGTGCACAGACTGCCCTATATGACATCATAACAACAATCTGGACCACTGGATGGGTTCCGCAGGATTGGAAGGATGCCCTGGTAGTCCCTCTTCTTAAAGAGGGGGACCGCACAGACTGTAATAACTACAGGGGCATCTCACTCCTCAGTGTGCCGGGAAAGGTCCTGGCAAGGATTATTCAACATCGCCTTGCCAGGCACGCTGAGGAGAGGCTTGCGGAGCCCCAATGCGGTTTCAGGAAAGGGCGGTCCTGCACAGATGCAATATTTTCTGTCCGTCTGCTACAGCAGAAGTGTCGGGAATTCCAACAAGACCTACATCTCTGCTTTATTGACCTGGTCAAGGCCTATGATACCATCAGTAGGCCTTGGCTATGGGTTGTTTTTCGTGCTTTTGGAGTCCGTGACCCTCTGCTGACGATCATTAAGGACCTTCATGATGGTGAGCGGGCCCGGGTAAAACTACGTGGCCGGGAGTCAGAGCCATTCCCTGTACACCTTGGGGTGTGACAGGGATGTCCTCTGGCTCCCACATTATTTAACATCTATTTTGACCACGTAGTTCGTGAACCCTTCAATAGCTGTACCAGAGGAATTTCCATTTGGTACAGATACAATGGGAGGATGATCGATGCGGTCAAGGGATGGCTCCCTATTGCTCAACCACGTTATGTATGCCGATGATTTGGTAATAGCTGCTCATTCTGAGGAGGAGTTGGAGACGCTGCTGCTGAGACTGGAACGTGCCACTAAGAGATGGGGCCTTACCATCAGCCCCACCAAAACCAAGCACCTGCCTGGGTATTTTGTACCATCGGACACTCCACCCCCACAACACCCAATCGGTGATGGGGCAGTTGTGGAGAGAGTGGAGAGTTTCCCATACCTGGGCAGTGTGCTTATGACTGGCTCCAGTTTAACAGCAGAGGTCTCACTCCGAATCAGTCGAGCGGCAATATCTTTTCATCGGTTGCGTAACGCTGTGTGGAAGCTACCTGGTCTGTCGCTCCACACTAAGCTTCACCAGTTGGAAACATTGAGGCTGGCCTGCCTACGATCCATCCTGGGTTTAACCAGGCTGGATTGTGTGAGGAGCTCACAAATCCTTGAAAGATCTGGGCAAGGTCCCATCGATGAGCTCCTCCGGCAGGCAAGGCTGCGATGGCTGGGTCATGTAGCCCGCATGCCCAGCCACCGCATGCCGAAACAGCTTCTGTTCCTCCGGATCGAGGGGGCTAAGCGGGCACGGCACGGGCTAGAGAAGAGATGGAGTGATGTGGTACAGGAGGACGTGGAGCTGAGTGGACTTGCCGAAGATCGGCCTCTGTGGAGGAGGCTCGTGAAGGACGCTGCTACTGGGCAGTTGGAGGCAGTCGCCCTCCAACAACAACGGAGGGCGGAGGAGCGACGCTCACAACAACGAGCGGAGCACCGGGTGGCTAAAGCACAGCAGGTTGGCACAGTAGGGGGCACAGGTGGTGCATCAGCCAGTCATCTCAGTCAGTCGACCCGTGGCACCTGGGTCTGCCCAGTGACCTCCTGCCAGCGGGCGTTCGACATTTCACGTGGCCTTAGGGTGCACATGGCCTGTTGACGTCACCGCCACTTAGTGGCGAATGGCGGTTGTTGTTGTGTGTATGTGTGTAAGTGTGTAAGTGTGTGTATATGTGTGTATGTGTGTGAGTGAGTGTGTGTGTGTGTGAGTGGGGAGTGACAGTGTAGCGGTCAGCGCGCTGCGCTACGAACCTGGCGACCCGGGTTCGATTCCCGCTCACGGCCAACACCACCAGTGACGATTATCTTAACCGGTCCCGGGCCTCCCTTAAGTCGACTCAGCCTCAAATGAGTACCTGGTGCGGTGCGTAAACATCGCCACTGGGGAGACAAAGGCGGTCGGGCGTGGTGCTGGCCACCCACCCCCTCGTGTGCCGTTACCGGCCTTCATAGGTGCTCGCTAACAGCACTTGCCCCTAAGGCTATACGGGGGATCTTTGTTATCTTTGTGAGTGAGTGACCCGCACCGCCACCGTGAAGGAGGAGGAGGAGGAGGCAGGAGGGGCGAGGAGGGTGGAGGAGGCGGTGGAGGAGGAGGCGGTGGAGGAGCCATCGATGGTGCTGCTCTTTGCAGCCACGGACGCAGGCACGGTGACCTCCCGGCGTGGCAGCCGCTCCAGCGGGGAGTCTGGGGGGAGGGGACAGTGCTTCACTCGCTCACCCGTTCATTCAGACAGGCAACTAATTCATTCATTCACTCATTCACTCACTCATTCATTCGCTCGCCGACTCACTCACACGCCCAGTCACTCATTCATTCACTCGCCCACTCACTCATTCATTCACTCTTTCACTCACTCATTCACTCACTCACTCATTCACTCACTCACTCATTCATTCGCTCGCTCACTCACTCACACGCCCAGTCGCTCATTCATTCACTCATTCATTCACTCGCCCACTTACTTACCCTCCCAGTCACTCATTCATTGACTCATTCACTCACTCATTAATTCACTCATTCACTCACTCATTCATTCCCTCACCAACTCACTGATCCGCCCACTCACTCATTTAATCGCCCACTAACTCACCCGCCCACTTATTGACTCATTCACTCACTCATTCATTCATTCACTCGCCCACTCACTCACCCGCCCAGTTACTCATTCATTGACTCATTCACTCAGTCGTCCATTCACTCATTCACTCACTCATTCATTCATTCACTCGCCCACTCACTCACCCGCCCACTCATTCATTCACTCATTCATTCACTCGCCCACTAATTCATTGATTCATTCACTCATTAATTCACTCATTCACTCGCTCACTTGCTCATTCAGTTGCCCACTAACTTATTCTTTCATTGACTCATTCACTCCCCCACTAACTCATTCATTGACTCGTTCACTCACTCAGTCATTCACTCACTCATGCACTCGCTGACTCACTCACTCATCCACTCACTCGCTCACTCGCTCAATCATTCACTCACTCGCTCAATCATTCACTCACTCATTCACTCGCCCACTCATTCAGTTGGTCAATCATCCACTCACTCGCTCACTCGCTCAATCATTCACTCACTCATTCACTCACTCATTCACTTGCCCACCCACTCATTCACTCGCCCACTTGTCCACTCACTCGCTCGCTCAATCATTCACTTACTCATTCAGTCGGTCACTCGCCTAATCACTCACTCAACCTCCATGTGTATCTGCCCGCGCGTGAGTCTGCACGTCCGTGTGTCTGCCCGTGTGTGTGTCTGCCCGTGTGTGTGTCTGCCTGTCCGTGAGTGTGTATGTCTGTCCGTGTGTCTGCCTGTCCGTGTGTCTGTCTGTGCATGTGTCTGCCCGTACGCGTACCGGGAGCGGAGCCAGTGCGGAGTGGCAGCTGCTGCTGCTGCTGCAGCTGGTGGTGGTGGTGCCGCTGAGCGGGCGACACCGGCACGGCGGTGCCACCGCTGCCACCGGCGCTGCCGGAGCGTCGCAACACCGCCACGTTGCAGGACTCGGAACGCCGCTCCTGGAGCAGCGAGGGGTGGATCTGGGGTGGCACGGCCCGGGGGCGGGGCAACACAGCAACGTCATAGTGGGCGGGGCAACACAGCAACGTCATAGTGGGCGGGGCAACACCGCAACGTCAAAGTGGGCGGGGCAACACCGCCACGTTGCAGGACTCGGAACGCCGCTCCTGGAGCAGCGAGGGGTGGATCTGGAGTGGCACGGCCCGAGGGCGGGGCAACACAGCAACGTCACGGTGGGCGGGGCAACACCGCAACGTCACAGTGGGCGGGGCAACACCGCAACGTCACAGTGGGCGGGGCAACACCGCAACGTCACAGTGGGCGGGGCAACACCGCAACGTCACAGTGGGTGGGGTGGTGGCGTGGATGGGGTGGGTGGGGTGGTGGGTGGGGTGGGTGGGGTGGGTGGGGTGGTGGGTGGGGTGGGTGGGGTGGGTGGGGTGGTACGGTGGGTGGGTGAGTGAGTGGGTGGGTGGGTGAGTGGGTGGGTGGGTGAGTGGGTGGGTGGGTGAGTGAGTGGGTGAGTGAGTGGTGAGTGAGTGGGTGAGTGGGTGAGTGAGTGAGTGAGAGGGTGAGTGGGTGAGTGAGTGGGTGGGTGACTGGGTGAGTGAGTGGGTAAGTGAGTGAGTGGGTGAGTGAGTGGGTGAGTGAGTGGGTGGGTGACTGGGTGAGTGAGTGAGTGGGTGGGTGGGTGAGTGAGTGAGTGAGTGGGTGGGTGGGTGAGTGGGTGGGTGACTGGGTGAGTGAGTGGGTGAGTGAGTGAGTGGGTGAGTGGGTGGGTTGGTGGGTGAGTGGTTGGGTGAGTGAGTGGGTGGGTGGGTGGGTGAGTGGTTGGGTGAGTGAGTGGGTGAGTGAGTGACTGGGTAAGTGAGTGGGTGGGTGACTGGGTGAGTGAGTGACTGGTTAAGTGAGTGAGTGACTGGGTGAGTGAGTGGGTGAGTGAGTGAGTGAGTGGGTGAGTGAGTGAGTGAGTGGGTGGGTGAGTGAGTGAGTGGGTGAGTGGGTGGATGGGCGAGTGAGTGAGTGAGTGGGTGAGTGGGTGACTGGGTGGGTGGGTGAGTGAGTGAGTGGGTGAGTGGGTGAGTGAGTGAGTGAGTGGGTGAGTGAGTGAGTGGGTGAGTGAGTGGGTGAGTGGGTGAGTGAGTGGGTGAGTGAGTGGGTGAGTGAGTGAGCGGGTGGGTGAGTGGGTGGGTGGGTGAGTGGGTGAGTGAGTGAGTGGGTGGGTGAGTGGTTGGGTGAGTGGGTGAGTGAGTGGGTGGGTGAGTGAGTGGGTGAGTGAGTGAGTGACTGGGTGAGTGATTGAGTGGGTGAGTGAGTGAGTGGGTGAGTGAGTGGGTGAGTGGGTGAGTGAGTGGGTGAGTGAGTGAGCGGGTGGGTGAGTGAGTGAGTGGGTGGGTGGGCGAGTGAGTGAGTGGGTGAGTGGGTGACTGGGTGGGTGGGTGAGTGAGTGGGTGAGTGGGTGAGTGAGTGAGTGGGTGGGTGGGTGAGTGGGTGAGTGAGTGAGTGGGTGGGTGGGTGGGTGAGTGGTTGGGTGAGTGAGTGATTGAGTGGGTGGGTGGGTGGTTGGGTGTGTGAGTGGGTGTGTGAGTGGGTGGGTGAGTGGGTGAGTGAGTGGGTGAGTGAGTGAGCGGGTGGGTGAGTGGGTGAGTGGGTGGGTGGGCGAGTGAGTGAGTGAGTGGGTGAGTGAGTGAGTGAGTGGGTGGGTGAGTGGGTGAGTGAGTGAGTGAGTGGGTGGGTGGGTGAGTGGTTGGGTGAGTGAGTGGTTGGGTGAGTGGTTGGGTGAGTGAGTGGGTGGGTGAGTGGTTGAGTGAGTGAGTGGTTGGGTGAGTGGGTGAGTGGTTGGGTGAGTGAGTGGTTGGGTGAGTGAGTGGTTGGGTGGGTGAGTGGTTGGGTGAGTGGGTGAGTGGTTGGGTGAGTGAGTGGTTGAGTGAGTGAGTGGTTGGGTGAGTGAGTGAGTGGTTTGGTGAGTGAGTGACTGCTGTGCCACTGCGCACCTCATCTTTGTCCAGCAGGAGCAGCTGCTTGTCCGACAGCACGCAGTAGCGCTCGAGCCAGACCACTCGCTCCCTGCAGGGAGACTTCCCGCACGACAGGCGGTGTGTCTCAGGCACCTTCACGTCTACGAGCGGACACAACAACAACACACAGACACACACACACAGACACACACACAGACAGACACACACACAGATACACACAGACACACACACAAACACACACACACACACAGACACACACACGTAGACACACACAGACACACACACACAGACACACACACACACAGACAGACACACACAGACACACACAGACACACACACAGACACACACACAGACACACACACACAGACACACACACAGGTACACACACAGGTACACACACACAGATACACACAGACACACACACAGATACACACACACAGATACACACACACACACAGACACACACACGTAGACACACACAGACACACACACACACACACAAAGATAAACATCCCCCATATAGCCTTAACAGACTGTAGGGGCAAGTGCTGTTAGTGAGCACCTATGAAGGCCAGAACGGTACACGAGGGGGTGGGTGGCCAGCACCACGCCCGACCGCCTTTGTCTCCCCAGTGGCGATGTTTACACACCGCACCAGGTACTCATTTGAGGCTGAGTCGACCAAGGGGAGGCCCGGGACCGGTTCAGATAATCGTCACTGGTGTTGGCCGTGAGCGGGAATCGAACCCGGGTCGCCAGGTTCATAGCGCAGCGTAGCGCTAACCGCTACACCACCCACCAAACTACCCACCCACCACACCAGCCACCCACCACCCACCCACCCACCACACCACCAACCACCCACCACACCACCCACCCACCCCACCACCCACCCACCCCACCACCCACCCCACCACCCACCACTACAGAGTTCCTCGACGCCTGTTGACTGAGGGCGGTGGCTGGGAGTGTACACACACACAGACACACACACAGTCACACCCAGTCACACACACACAGTCACACACCCAGTCACACACACACAGTCACACACACAGTCACACACACACAGACACACACAGTCACACACAGACACACACAGACACACACAGACACACACACAGACACACACACACAGACACACACACACAGTCACACACACACAGACACACACACAGTCACACACACACAGACACACACACAGTCACACACACACAGACACACACACACACAGACACACACACACAGTCACACACACACACAGACACACACACACAGACACACAGACACACACACAGACACACACACACACACAGTCACACACACACAGTGTGTCTGTGTGTGTGACTGTGTGTGTCTGTGTGTGTGTGACTGTGTGTGTGTGTGACTGTGTGTGTGTGTCTGTGTGTGTGACTGTGTGTCTGTGTGTGTCTGTGTGTGTGACTGTGTGTCTGTGTGTGTCTGTGTGTGTCTGTGTATGTGTGTGTCTGTGTGTGTCAAGTATTGCGGTGTGTGTAGTGTAGTGAACATCGCGAGCACTGGGGGAGAGACAAAGGCGGCCGGGCGTGGTGGTGGTGCTGGCCACCCACCCCCTCGTGTGCCACACCGCCGGTAGCCTTCAAAGGCGCTGCCACTCGCTGACAGCACTTGCCCCTAGGGCCTGCCAGAGGCTACGCGGGGGACCTTTGCATTTAGCTCCCACTCGGTGTGAACGTTTGAGGCAGCCAGCAGCTGTCCCCATCAGCTGAGCGTGGACACACAGACAAAGCTCCCCCGGGTAGCCTCTACAGGCTGCAGGGGCAAGTGCTCTGTTAGGGAGCACCTCACACACAGACAAAGATCCCCCGGGTAGCCTCTACAGGCTGCAGGGGCAAGTGCTCTGTTAGGGAGCACCTCACACACAGACAAAGATCCCCCGGGTAGCCTCTAACAGGCTGCAGGGGCAAGTGCTGTTAGCGAGCACCTCACACACAGGCACAGACAAAGATCCCCGTGTAGCCTCTAACAGGCTGTAGGGGCAAGTGCTGTTAGCGAGCACCTCACACACAGACACAGACAAAGCTCCCCCGTGTAGCCTCTACAGGCTGCAGGGGCAAGTGCTCTGTTAGCGAGCACCTCACACACAGACACAGACAAAGCTCCCCCGTGTAGCCTCTACAGGCTGCAGGGGCAAGTGCTGTTAGCGAGAACCTCACACACAGACACAGACAAAGATCCCCCGTGTAGCCTCTAACAGGCTGTAGGGGCAAGTGCTCTGTTAGCGAGCACCTCACACACAGACAAAGATCCCCCGGGTAGCCTCTAACAGGCTGCAGGGGCAAGTGCTGTTAGCGAGCACCTCACACACAGACAAAGCTCCCCCCGTGTAGCATCTAACAGGCTGCAGGGGCAAGTGCTGTTAGCTAGCACCTCACACACAGACACAGACAAAGCTCCCCCGTGTAGCCTCTACAGGCTGCAGGGGCAAGTGCTGTTAGCGAGCACCTCACACACAGACAAAGATCCCCCGTGTAGCCTCTACAGGCTGCAGGGGCAAGTGTTGTTAGCTGGCACCTCACACACAGACACAGACAAAGATCCCCCGTGTAGCCTCTAACAGGCTGTAGTGGCAAGTGCTGTTAGCGAGCACCTCACACACAGACAAAGCTCCCCCCGTGTAGCATCTAACAGGCTGCAGGGGCAAGTGCTGTTAGCTAGCACCTCACACACAGACACAGACAAAGCTCCCCCGTGTAGCCTCTACAGGCTGCAGGGGCAAGTGCTGTTAGCGAGCACCTCACACACAGACAAAGATCCCCCGTGTAGCCTCTACAGGCTGCAGGGGCAAGTGTTGTTAGCTGGCACCTCACACACAGACACAGACAAAGATCCCCCGTGTAGCCTCTAACAGGCTGTAGTGGCAAGTGCTGTTAGCTAGCACCTCACACACAGACACAGACAAAGATCCCCCGTGTAGCCTCTAACAGGCTGCAGGGGCAAGTGCTCTGTTAGCGAGCACCTCACACACAGACACAGACAAAGATCCCCCGTGTAGCCTCTAACAGGCTGCAGGGGCAAGTGCTCTGTTAGCGAGCACCTCACACACAGACAAAGCTCCCCCGTGTAGCCTCTAACAGGCTGTATTGGCAAGTGCTGTTAGCGAGCACCTCACACACAGACACAGACAAAGATCCCCCGTGTAGCCTCTAAGAGGCTGCAGGGGCAAGTGCTGTTAGCGAGCACCTCACACACAAAGCTCCCCCGTGTAGCCTCTAACAGGCTGCAGGGGCAAGTGCTCTGTTAGCGAGCGGGAAGTCTCTTAGACTCTGTGGTAACAAAGACAGTACACACTGTAGACAGCCCATATTGTGCGTACAGCACACACTGTATATACAGTACTCATTGTGCACTGTATATACAGTACGCACAACGGATGCAGTACACGCGGTGCGTACAGTATATATTGTACATACAGGGTCTCTGTGTGGTGAATCTGTGGGTCTCTGTGTGATGAGTCTGTGGGCCTCTGTGTGGTGAGTCTGTGGGTCTCTGTGTGGTGAGTCTGTGGCTCTCTGTGTGATGAGTCTATGAGTCTCTGTGTGATGAGTCTATGGGTCTCTCTGTGGTGAGTCTGTGGGTCTCTGTGTGGTGAGTATGTGGGTCTCTGTGTGATGAGTCTGTGGGTCTCTGTGTGATGAGTCTATGGGTCTCTGTGTGATGAGTCTGTGGGTCTCTGTGTGGTGAGTATGTGGGTCTCTGTGTGATGAGTCTGTGGGTCTCTGTGTGATGAGTCTGTGGGTCTCTGTGTGGTGAGTCTGTGGGTCTCTGTGTGGTGAGTCTGTGGGTCTCTGTGTGGTGAGTCTGTGGGTCTCTGTTTGGTGAGTCTGTGGGTCTCTGTGTGGTGAGTCTGTGGGTCTCTGTGTGGTGAGTCTATGGGTCTCTGTGTGATGAGTCTGTGGGTCTCTGTGTGGTGAGTCTGTGGGTCTCTGTGTGATGAGTCTGTGGGTCTCTGTGTGATGCGTCTATGGGTCTCTGTGTGGTGAGTCTGTGGGTCTCTGTGTGGTGAGTCTATGGCTCTCTGTGTGATGAGTCTATGGGTCTCTGTGTGGTGAGTCTATGAGTCTCTGTGTGATGAGTCTGTGGGTCTCTGTGTGGTGAGTCTGTGGGTCTCTGTGTGGTGAGTCTGTGGGTCTCTGTGTGGTGAGTCTGTGGGTCTCTGTGTGGTGAGTCTATGAGTCTCTGTGTGATGAGTCTGTGGGTCTCTGTGTGGTGAGTCTGTGGGTCTCTGTGTGGTGAGTCTGTGGGTCTCTGTGTGGTGAGTCTGTGGGTCTCTGTGTGGTGAGTCTGTGGGTCTCTGTGTGGTGAGTCTGTGGGTCTCTGTGTGGTGAGTCTATGGGTCTCTGTGTGATGAGTCTGTGGGTCTCTGTGTGGTGAGTCTGTGGGTCTCTGTGTGATGAGTCTATGGGTCTCTGTGTGGTGAGTCTGTGGGTCTCTGTGTGATGAGTCTATGGGTCTCTATGTGGTGAGTTTGTGGGTCTCTGTGTGATGAGTCTGTAGGTCTCTGTGTGATGAGTCTATGGGTCTCTGTGTGGTGAGTCTGTTGGTCTCTGTGTGGTAAGTCTGTGGGTCTCTGTGATGAGTCTGTAGGTTTCTGTGTGGTGAGTCTGTGGGTCTCTGTGTGATGAGTCTGTGGGTCTCTGTGTGGTGAGTCTGTGGGTCTCTGTTTGGTGAGTCTATGGGTCTCTGTGTGGTGAGTCTGTGGGTCTCTGTGTGGTAAGTCTGTGGGTCTCTGTGTGGTGAGTCTGTTGGTCTCTGTGTGGTGAGTCTGTGGGTCTCTGTGTGATGAGTCTATGAGTCTCTGTGTGATGAGTCTGTGGGTCTCTGTGCCATGGTAACCCGCACCGCCACCTAAGATTCCCGGCATTCCACGGACGCATGGAATGGCCGTCACGCTTCCGCCTCCGCGTGGGACATCCCGCACCAGCTGATGGCCCAATGAGGGGGGGCGGGGGGGAGCGACAGGGGGGAGAGGGGAGAGAGAGGAGAGAACCGTGGACGGTGAAGGCGACATTGCCACGAAGATCGACCCGTCACCCGTGTTGAAAGAGCCTCACCCCTCATCCCTCACCCCCCCCACCACCAGCAATGGATGAAGCTGGCCC